GCTAGTGTTGTCATATATAGTATATCTACATATTCTGCATATAGGCTTCACTATAGCCAATGGTATAATTGTTTTTTAAAATAGATATATTTTAAAGAATTTAAGTAAATATGAAATTATTATTTCTTTGTATTTTTATGGAAGTAGTAGTATTAAGTGTAAGCAAAATACAGTCTTTTGGATACTCCTAGCCATATTCTTAGACTGTATGCAGGTTTCTGGGAGTAATTTTATTTGTTACTTGTCTTCTGAAATGTACATGTATACATGTACCTACTAAGTGCTATATGATTTTCAAATGTATTACTGTAGAATGCCTCTTCAAATTCAATACAGTTGTTAAATTTGAACAAAAAAAGAATATATCATATTTACTTAAATATTAACAAGCTTCAATGCTATTCCTACTATCCTGAAGATTCATTTTCCTTGTGTTATCTTTATCTATCTTTGCAAAGAACTCTCTTTAGCACCGGGACTACTAGTGATAATTTTTCTTTTGATAGTACCTTTAGTTTCTTTAGTATCTTTAGTTTGATAGTATCAGATAGTTTCACCTGATAGTATCTTTCTTCAGCCCTCTTTTTTGGAGGGTATTATTACTGAATATAGAATTATGGTGTGCCTTTTTTCCCTAGGACTTCAAAGATAATATTCTACAGCTTTCTGGTCCGGTGGATATAACCATTTGCTTGTAGTTGGTAAAGAAAATAGTTGAGATGGAAGTGTTGGCTAGCAGAGCAGGGTGTGATAGATGCTTTGACAAAGGGTAGTTATGAAGAGCTCTTAGCTAGAAGGTTTGTTTCATGTCTTGCTCTCTGTGCCTCATTTTGATAAAATGAGCTCCTTTGACAGGGAATTGGTTTTGTTTATATTCTTGTCTCACCCAGGAAGTCCGACAGAACATAATCATTCCATTTATTTTAAGTGCCTAATTTTGCTTTCATGGTATTTATAATGAAAGAATAAGTTAGAGAATGAATGGATGACTGCTAAAGAGAAAAAGCAATGTGAAAAGGTTGGAGTGCATTAATGTTAGAAATATAATTTTGTTTAATTAATTGATAATGCTTCCATTATTGTCAAAGCATAGAAATGTGGGATATTTTGTGAATTGTGCTGTGTTGTAAATGTTTGATGTGTTTTCTTAACACTGAATTGATGCAGCTCTTGAAATACCATGATTTTATTGAAAATAAGTGGGACATACTTCTAGTCACCTCACAACCTCTGAATTTGGGGAAGATGGAGTTAGTCCTTTAGTTGTATCTTGTTTGATTTTAATGGCATAGTTTTTCACCTTGGCATGACTCGAACTCCCATGACAATCGTGCAGGAAAGGGGAGTTGTTACAGTTTTTGTAATGTACACATCACCAAAACATAGTACTGTCCTTCTATGCCCTTATGAGAAACCTAGAAGTAGTATTCTAATGGTAATGTAAGATAAATGAGATTCTGTGGAAACAGAAGTGCTCAGTTTTGAGAAACTCTTTTGTGACGTCTTATCTTAATGATTCTAAAAGTTGACCCAATTCTACTGTTATCTATCATCTATCAATTTATTTTTCATAATCTTTCTGTATACCTCTACCTATCAACTTATCTATAAACTATCTAATTATCTACAAATCATCCATCTCATTATCTCTCTGTCTGCCTATCCATCTGTCCATCCATCTATTATCTATCTATCTATCTATCATCTATCTATCTATTCATCCAACCATCCATCCAACCTGCCATTATTTATAAGAGGCAGAAGATGACAGTAATGTAGACCCCATGGAGTTACCTCCCATGTGGAAAGACCAGTGGTGACAGTGGTCCCTGAGGTGATGATAAACAGAAGGATAAAGAGAACATGAGGACTGAGGACCATTGAGTCAGGAACCCACCCAGCAGGAGCTCTGGCTTGAATTTGAATGATCAGAATAGGGCTGTCTCCATTTTTTGTCAGTTTGACACGAGAAAATTTAGACTACACATGATGATGACTGCTTTTTCAGTCCTACTAGATTACATAATTAAAACTCATTCCAATTACGTGTAGTTATCACCATAGTATGTATAAACTAGACCACAACTGGCAAAAAATTTCTGTAAAAGGCTAAATAACAACATGTCCTGTTTTTCAGAACTTATGATGTCTGCTGCACCTAATCTGCTCTGATATCAAGCTGCACCTAATCTGCTCTGATACCAAAGTATGCAAGCAGGCAGACACAATGTGGAATTCAATGAGTATGGCTGTGTTCCAATAAAATTTTATTTACAATAGCAGGCTGTGGGCTTTAGTTTACCAATTCTTAAGCCAGGACCTGAGAAATATTGGATTAACTCAGCCACATGGTAAAAATATCTGGGAATTGTTTCCCCACATTATTTTGTTAAAATTATTTTAGTTCCTTTGCTAAATCTCATTTGTAAGAGAATGATATAAATGAGAACTGCATGCCATAATAGCCTAAACAATGTGAAACCAGCACTGTATAAGGGATTAAAGTGCTATGAACCCTCTTCCAGTTGTTACTCATTAATGATCCTTGAAACTTTAACAGATTGCTCCCACATTCCATCTGTAAAGTGCCCAAGGAATTAACGTCCATGGCCTTGCCTGCCTTCTTTCCGCCTTCAGCACATTTTGTATCAAAATGAATCTTTCAGCTTCCTTGATGGTATGCAACCTCCTTGGGCAATGACTCCAGTTCATTTTTACTTTATCTGTGCAGTTGTAATTGTGTCAACATCTCAGAATGGGATTTGAACATCCCAAAGCTACTATTTAACCTAGTTTGTAAAAAACGTGAAAGAGTAAACAAGATATGAACATGGCCAATGGATGCAATCTTCAATCCAGTTACACTGCGTTTTCCAAAATGGCGCTTGCTTGTTCATGTCAACTACAGTGGAGGGTCTAGAGGAGAAAAAGAGAGCCTACAACCTGCTAATTTAAGGTTCAATTTGGGCTACTTCCTATTTTACAGTCAATTAAAAATATATATGTATGTTTACTTGAAACTTACATGACCAATTTAGTGTTAATATTCATGGAAGTCTTACTGAAATCAATTAGAAAAAGACAAGCATCCGTACTAGAGTGGGAAAGCACATACATGAACAACTACTAAAAGAAAACTATTGTGAATGGCCAAGAGCATAGAAAATGATGCCCGGCTGTATCAACCTTTATGATGAAATAGTTAAACATATATGGAATAGTTATAAATCTAATGAAATAATTAAATATGTCTGTGTGTGTGCACAAAGACACACACAATGAAACAAATTGAAGAATTACTTGTCCTTTTTCACCTATCAGATTAACTGGTACATTTGTTAACAAAATGTGGAGAATTTGGGACTCCTGTTATATTACAATCTTTCCAGAAGACAATGGAAAAGATGTATTCGATGGAAATTAGCACGTTTTGACTACCAATTTTATTTTTAGAAATTTACCTATGGGATGTAATAGGTAGTGTTCAAAGATGATGTAAACTCAAAGGTACTCACTGCAGCCTTAATTATTCTTGTAAAATTATAAGTAACCTGTTCATCAAGTCACAATGCTTGGGAAAATCGTGATGGTACATTTATCCAATTGCATCGTATTCAGTTACATGTGGTAATGTGTGTTCAGATGAATTGATATGAAAATCCAGGGTTTTCATTTTCCCACCAGTTATGAGTACTAACTATGTTTGAGGCATTGACATTGTATTTCATTCATGTAAAATTATATATGTATGTGCTTGTTTGGATATGGTCAATAAATGAATTTTATAGGAAGACTATTCAAAGAATGTTGGTAGTGAGTTCTGGTCATTATTTTAGTGTTCCATTTGTGTGTGTGTGTGTGTGTGTGTGTGTGTGTGTGTGTGTGTTGCATGTAGTTTCAAGTACATGTATTACAGTTTTATATATGTATCATTTATTGAGTTCTTGGTAAATGTACTATATGCTAAGATAAACACTATTTCATAGATTGTCTCCTTTAGTACTTATACCCATACAGAGTAGGATGTTTAGTCTGCTGAGTTTGAGTCTGAGTTTAATTGTGTAATTCATCCCATTATTCACAACTAAAACAATAAAAAACCACTCTAGAGTGCCACAGCCTTTAGAAGGTAATAATTTAAAATAGTTATATTTTGCTAAATCCATTGAGCAAGACTGTTTTGGGGAAGAATGCATATTTCTGAGGAATAGCCATTCTCCCTTTGTCCTTGGAGTCAGAGCCATTAGACTTCTCAAGTGTGAATCCTTAGGCTAAAAAGTGTAAGTATTTAGACATTTCAGGAACAGGAGAAAGTGATGAACAGGTCATTGGTTTGTGGAAAATCCCATGGTCTAAACCTACAAAGAATGACCTTTAGAAATATATGACACCACAGCCTAGGAGATGGGACACCATTCCTCAGCAGGAGCCATTTCGTAGAGCACAGGGATAACATGGGGACACAGACCAAAGCCCAAGAGAAATGGCCAATAAGAAGGATGCCACCAGATGGAAGAAAACAGCTATTGGAATAGACCTGATAACAGGCGAAACCAAGACAAATGCTCCAGGTGGCAGGGCAAAGGCCAACGAGGACCTCAGAGTTACAAAGCAGTCCTCATCTGATACAAACTTAAACGTCAGAATCCTGTGTTGGAATATTTTTTCCAATGGTAATTCGTGACCGTATGGTCTGGATTCTAAACTACCTCCTTTGAACGTGTGTTCCATAATAGCCCATTCCCCCCCCCCCCAGTTCTCTGTATTCATTCTGACTCTTGTCTAAACATAACAACTTGTTTCTCGCAAATACAATTAATTAGCAACTTTGAATTAGTAGCCAAAATGTTGGCCAAAACAGTAAGCAGGGGAACTGTGACATAAGCTTGGCCTGACGATGCCCAGTGCCTAAAGTATTCTTAGCACTTTGATTGGTTCAGTGAAGTATGGAAAGTGCTGTGGCTGTTCTAACTTTGCCTTTTTATTGCTTGTATTTTGAGGGGAAATGGACTAAGATACCGCAGAAGGCTCTGGAGCATTGAGGACACTGAAGGAGGATGATAACCACAGGAGAAAGCAGTGACCACTCAGTAAGGATGCATCTGTCAGAGGGTCGCCATGGCGCTCGTTTGCATAGCATGAAGGACTTCTGCAGAAAGGATTATTGACTATTGTAGAGTGAAGAACTGCGAGAGGAAATCAGTGAAGACAGGAAATGACAAGGGTGATAAATGGACCCAGCAACCATGATTTGTGTGGCAAGGACTAGAAGTGTGGGGATGCCTGTTTGATAAATCATTGTGACAGAACCAATTATTGTCCTGCATTTTTAAATGCATTTCATGTATTTTCTGACCTGACTTATACTCTCTGTGATGCTTTGCTGCAGGTTAAAGGCTAGAACAAGTTACCATACTTCAGGAAAGAGAGGTGAGCAGCTACTCTGGTGCTTTTGAAGTGACTTGTGTGTGTGGCCAATGATGTCAGTACTTGGTCTGTGGGCTCATTCTTCAGAGGCTCAGGGGAGACTATTTTCATGACATTTTCCCCATAGGTGTGCTTACTTTGTCAAAGGAGTCTTTGTTATTGTTTATTTCCTTTAGTAAATACAAATCCCTTTTTGAAGTCTGCTTTTAGAATGGCCACTGCCCGTGGACTGCCCTTGATTCGCAGCGCAGTAGACAAGCATGCACGAAATAGGCCTGGCGGTGGAAATGCTTATTTGTCGGGCGGGCGCCCGTCTGGATCAATGATGAGCACAATTGTCTGAGGATGCTGAGGGACTCATTCCAGATGTCAATCTGAGGTCCAGATGAGTGGCCCTCCAACAGGACAAATAAGGCTCCCAGAGCCCGGCTCTATTTAGTGACCCCAGTGACCACACCGTGCCACTGAGACCAGGCCTCCCTTTCTGAGCGAGGCATTAGTGTCGCATCTATGAGGCCATATGCGACTTGGGGTATGCTGGTGACCTGAGGCTGGCTTCATTGGGCCACTTTGAACAGAGGCTGGTACCTAGATACTTGTGCATGGGAAGTATGTCCTGGAATAATTAGTGAGGAAGCAAAAAAAAGATTAAGTTAAGAAGGGTTCAAGCACCTGTGATGCGTCCGGAGAGCCTCATTAGCGTTGGGCTAAGAGAAGGAAAGCTGCGTGCCTGTGCTACGTGTTAACAATGGAGTCAATTCTACCGCTTTGTGATTTTTTACGGTTGGGTCTCCTCTGAGACTACCTTTGCTTTTCATTGTGTCATGTTTTTCTGAGGTAGAAGGCTGGAGCGAGGTCCTCCGCTTCAGAGAAAACGGTGAGTAACGACCCAGGATCCTTTGAGATTCACATCACATGCTCCGTGCCACATGCTGAGGTGTCTGTGTTCATCTTTTCAGTGGCTCACCGGATAAGACCCTCATGGTGTGCCCCTGTTGTGGTGAGTGTCTCCACCCTTGTTTCTGAATTTCAAATTTTATTTCATATGAGTTTTGGGTAGACTAACAAATGTAGAATTTGGGGAAATTGTTGATTTTTTTTTAACGGTTTCATATTGCAATGAAATATCCCTTTGTGAAAATAAGCCATGTTTGGGAGTTTCCTTAACAAATGATTATGGTTTCAGAATGTTGACGTGTGATTAAGATAATCATATTCAAATCATCTTGGGTCATTATGGCTCCTCTTCTCATAATTAAGACTTGACTTTAATTAGTTGTTTTTTTTTATGCGGAACATTATTTGTTAAATTTTATGAAATCTTCATAAGGTCATGAAGATTTTATATAATAATGAACCACAAAGCACTTCATTTTTTCTGGAAAAAAAAGAAGTTCAATTTTTTCATGTTGTATTGACCTCACAAAGAATATTAGCTTGGGTTAATTCAGCACAGAGGCCATGGAATTTCACATATTAAATCATTAATCATTGTGTTCGCCACCCAGGGTCAGTTCTCCTTCAGAATTGTACACTTGAAACCTATGTAATTTTACTAACCATTGTCACCCCAGTAAATTTTAATAAAAAAATAAATAGAAAGTTATAAAAAATCAATCATTTTTGTTAAAATTGAAGCATCCACCAATAAGAAAAGTAGTCTGTGTATTCTTTGGCATTATTATGGAGAAGAGTCTGTGTTACCTGAGGCTTGGTGTTGAATACTTTTAGTAATAGATAAACTCAGCTTTCCTCCTGACAGAGCTCTTAACTGCAGTCTTTACTCAGGTCAATTAATAATATTTCCTCTATCCCTATAGTTTTGTCTTTTGAGAATGTTATATAAATGAAATCATACAGTATGTTATTTTTGAGGCTATTTCAATCAGCATGATTCCCTACACTGAGATACACTGAGGTCGTAGCTTATATCAATGGCTTACTTTTCACTGCTGATTAATAGTCCATTCTGTGGATGCACCAGCATTTATTTATCCATTCTTTTTTTTTAATTGAAGTTTATTGGGGGTGAAAATGGCTAGTAAATTTACATAAGTTTCAGGTGCACAATTCTGTAATACATCATCTATATATCACATTGTGTGTTCACCATCCAGAGTCAGTTCTCCTGCCATCACCATATATTTGATCCCTTTTACCCTCATATACTACCCCCTACCCCCTTACCCTCTGGTAAGCACTAAAATACTGTCTGTGTGTATGAGTTTTTTATTTAAATTGAGTCTTCTCTCTTTTCCTCTGGTCCGTCTAGTTAAAGCTTTGTGAATTTTGTTGAATTTTTCAAATCATCAAAGTGTTTGATTTTATTGACTTTATAATTTTTTCATTTGGTTATTTCAATCTTTAACCTTTATTATCTTTTACACTACTTTTTGTTTCCTTTTCTTGCTTGGCATTTGGTTGCTGTAGTTATTATGTTTCTTAAGGTGGATGGTTAACTTACTGGTTTGAAATCATGCTTCATTTTTTTTTAAAGATTTTATTGGGGGAATTCAGGGAGGGAACAGAGTTGGGGAATCAGGGAAGGGGAACAGACAAGTTGCTGTCCTTTGGTTCTTCAGTCTAGTTGTGGAGGACGTTGCTTCACTGGCCCATGTTGGTATTAT